CTAATACTTTTGACAGTCCTGTGCTCAATATGGCGCTGACATTTACGGCCTGATCCATTGGTGTAGCGGAAATTGTTTCCTCGTAAACGAGTCACTGTTGACATCTGTCAGCCCGGGTGTGCCAGAGTGTTCTATGACGTCGTTTTTTTCTTGTTGTCCGTAATTGTTCGCGTCAGGGTGTCCAATTGAATTGATATTTTTTTGGAGGTAAGAATTAAAGCCATGAATCTGTAATTATGATGAGAAAAACAAAATTCATTTGTTTCGCCTCGTGAATTTTTCGATCCCTTGAGGACTGAGTGATTGCGACACGATATCGATCGCATGTCCACCGGTAATAAAATGGAATTTTCGAGAAGAAATTTGACTGGAGACAAAATATTTTAAGTCTCTAGCCTAGCAGCAACAACCAAGAACATGTTTGGTTCACACAAAAAATTAAAAATATCAGAGAAATGCTTCACAAAATGCGTTGGTTTAGGCCTTTGTTTTGGAAAGGAAATTTCATGAACTCGCAGCATAGGAAATTACGCCATAGATAAATACGTATAAAAAATGAAGCACTCGACCCCCTTTGATTTCACGCTACATTAACTCCACTGTCGGTAGCGTGTGTAATTTGATTCAACTCTAAACTGTCTGTGGCTTAGTAATATTACTGAAGTGGTGCTGTACTGTAGTCTGGTACCAGGTACAGAGATGTTTAGTGTCAAAGGGTGCATAACCGTAGTATGACTAGCGCAAACATGCTTAGGCCCGCGTTTTGGACTTCGTTATGGGATTAACAACACAACTGAAATATTAGTCTTCGAACCGAATGATGATGTATTGACACAAATTATTTTTGAAATAAATCGAATATGACCTGTGCATGTTGTTAGAAAAATGACGATGTTGTTCTCACAAGTGCACCGAAAACATAGCAATTTCAAAAAGCTTGAAAATATATTTCTGGTATCGACGGGGCATGAACTCGTGCCATCCGGATACCGGTGTTAGCGCTTCTATCAACTAAGCTATGAAACCTGCGTGAAATCCATCGATTGATTCTTCTTTCACGAAGAGAAACAATGACGATAACCACAAAATGGAAAATCCTTGCGGTTTTTCGGCAGCTTTTCGAGGGTCTATTTCTTTACTCTTTTTCCCGAACACATCAAAGAAATATCAAGCTTGAATGTGTCGCTTTCTGTTCGGCATGCTAACCGGAATGAATATAATTATTTCAAGTTTGTTAATTCAATTTTTGAAATATGCGAACACACCATAGTAACCTGAGATTAAATGATAGGGGGAGAGGTTTATCCGGTGGTTTGGCCTGGACGCACAGTTGTAAGGTGCTTTCTGTTTGATTTACCATATTTTCATTGAATTTCCGGTTGTACTAATACAGTTGAAGACACCTTTGATCCCCTGCATAGGATTAATTTGGTCTACTTTGCCGAATCCCGGAAACCATATGGAATCACAACTATTTTCAATGAATTCCGTCAATATTTTAATATTTATCGTTTTACATTTACAGAGGTAGTTAGTCCATAGCATTGATACATTTGGATAAAGACAACATTCCGTCGACACGAGAGTTTCCGTTCAAGGCGTGCTTATCATTAGATAGAGATCCTTCTTATGAAGATCCAAGGGGATACGTACTTTAAATCTGTTTAAAATGCATAATTCGAGTCAAGTGCTTTCACAATATTTTGAAACACACGAAGGAGATGCAGTAATTGATAATAAAAATGTTTTGGCCATTTGTTTCTTTCAAAAACCATTTAAAAACCAAAGGTACGCTGAGTTGAATCGCGACTGAATCTTAACTGTTCGGGGAAATCATGCCATCCCTACGAAAACAACAAATGAGATATTTTCCCCTTTCGCCGACCAAAAGGGTAAAACGAAATATTAATTCGTAGAGTATCGCTTCTCTCTGTCTCTATGGAAACCTCTCGTTTGTTTGTGGAATTTAAAACTGGTTTTGCAAGTTCCAAGAACTTGTTTCGACAGTAAGTCACACTGTACTTTTTTTTTTTTTATAGAATAAAAGAAAATGTGAACACGAATTCCCAAGTGGGCTTACAGATCGTTTGAAACGTGAAAGAAAACTAGAAATAACGACAAAGGCATTTAGCAATGTTTAACAGGTAGATTTCTCAAAGTTTTAAGCCCTAGCGATTGTCCACCTAGACAATGTAAGAAGCATCACCTGAATTTGCATTCCCTCTCACAAAAAACGATAGAAATACATTATGCTAATTCTGCAATGGCCAAGAAATGGAAAGAAAGGCGCGCTGCGGGTAGTCCTCGATAATCAGTCGAAATTTATACAAATTTCGAAAAATATGTAAAAATCTTCTTCATTCTAAATAATCACTTAAATGAGCTTTTTCCAAATCCTGTGGCTCACCAGCAGTGTCTTTCCGTATTTTCTTTCGTCTTGCTTTCGTCTTGCCATTTCAACAATATCTTGTAATCTAAAGATACATTCCAGTCCATACTCTTGTGTAGGAGATCCGAAGAATTAGCTTTAAGTATTTAATGTCGTAATCTTCAATTAGTATTCATCTCTTATAATTTTTTCCTGCTTGGTTTTTCATTACTTTTTTGGTGATTTTTTCTTTTCTCTGTGATTGGAGGCAGAATTCATGGAGTCGACATTTGCTCCACACGGATCTCTATCTGGTTTCTTTTTTAAGATTCATTCTTCTATAGAAGTCACATGAACGTTTTAAAAGGAACCTTGAGCCTGCATCGACACCGCTCCGGGAAATTCAAGTGCCCAGTTCATGTTCTTAAAGAGACATACATTCCTTTCTGATTTTGCAGCATTTATGACTAGTGCTTATCCTAAATCGTGTAAACCTCCTAGTGGTGTTACAGAACTTGACCAAATCATGATAAAAGTATAAAACGATAAATCTTTATGTAAATCGCAAATTTGAGCCCCAGCCGCGGAGAAAAATTGACTAAAAAATGCCAAACCAATCCTTTTTTTTATCAGTAGTCACGATGGCTTTTATGATTTGCAGCAAATTTTGTTATGATGTGAAGAGTCAGGCACATCTCGCATGATTCTACCACTGTCACGCGACTCTGGTATTGTTAACTCGTCCGTGATTATATGACTCACCGAACTTGAAACATTTCTTTAATCTTAAGCATGCGATTTCTGGCGGCCTAATTAAAGAGCTGCGTCGCTGTATATAATGTGTTATTTTTACGATGCACAGTGGCACTTCATCTTAAATTTTAAATAATAAGCTTTATGAGGCACGGCGTAATAACACACATACTTGGGAACAAGTTGTTGGAGGTGGAGAGGGTAAAGACAGAACGAAAATGACGAACTTGAAAAGTGTAAAGGTAAATTTTTTATTACACACGAACCGTGACGTGTTTTATTAACTGTCGTTTATTTCTTTCAATTTCGTTATAATTTTTCTCGAAGTAAAATAATAGCCGAAAGCGCGTGGTTTTATTTATGACCTCATAAAAATACATAAAGGAAAAACCGAAAAATCACGAGCGAGTCATGGCTTAAAATATTGACTGCTGCTAAACACGACACTAATGGGTCATGACCACATCCTGTGACAAGAATGTGTAGTGTTACCGCAAAGGAAGACGACGGAAACAGAGCGAAACATCTGCTTCCATCAGTTGACAGTGACAAGAAAATATATTGGATACGTCACTGCTCCGCCGCCTACTTCCATGTCTATGTCGTGGTTCAATTACAGTCTTCGTTTGAATATGTTGCTTGTTTACCATATGAAAGCATGACGTTTTCAGTACAATGCGAAAGGGAACAAGTGTACTTCCCTTCGTCTGCCTTTACCTGTTGGTTTGCCTTAGTGAAAATGTTGTAAAATATATTTTCTATTGTCTTTTTAAGGTAATTTCTGGATTACGTTAAAGATTATCGCCGTAAAAGTCATGCCTGACTAACCCCATGGTATATTGACTAACCCCCTGGACGTGAAAATGAGAGACACGATCTAATGAGCGAGATTTGAGCGTACAATCACGAGTTGAGCGCCGGTATCAAAATCACTGTCAATTACCGTGCAAGTAGGATATTATGAATTGCATTTCAATCCCTAGTCCTTTCCATATCTCCTTTGATGTCAGAGAAAATAGATTTCTTTTTCATTCCATTTGTAAATTGTATCACATGTAGTCATTCTACTTAATCTGATACATAGAAGACTAAAGTCGTCGACAAAAACATCGACATTTCTTTCATTGCATTCCTTGTATCGTTTTAAGAGCATTCGGTAGAGCGCTCGGCCGATTGCTGCCGAGAAGACTGGAGTTTAAGCCTCTTAGAAGATTTAATTACTTTTCAGACTTTTCTTTCTGCCATACTTATTACTTTTATTGCAGTTTGTATAAGAACAGACATTCGTCACTCGTCATGTAATTCGTGATTTACTTGAAATTTTTTCTTCGTAGTCATGCCACGCAACGTCTAAAACACATGCCCTCGAGAGAGACTTTTACAGTCACTGGCTGCAACACACCAGAAACTTTTTTGTTAACATTTAAATTATTCTAAAGACCGCCTCTGAGAGACCGCCTCTGAAAGACCGCCTCTGAGAGAATAAAAAAGTAACAAAAACTATAAACCTCTTTTCAAAGAATAGCTTTTAGCTAATACAAAAAGAATCCTTCAAAGACAACTGACGTTAGGGAAAATAATACAATACTTGTTTGTCGCGAAACCGGTTTGTCCTGCGGCAGGTGTGGAGGCACAATTACCTCATTAAAAATTGAATGGAATTGTCTGATGGAGTTCCTTATTTGGGATGCTGTGGCACCAATTTCAGAAGCAAAATGTCTCCACTATGTCTATCAAAATGTTTTCATTCGTAGCAAGTTCTTCCCCAACACTACTCAAAGGAAAATTTGAAGATGCATAGCAAGAGATGTGATCTGATGATTTTAATTTAAGGTTAAAAAATTTATGTTTAATTTGCTCATAGAAGCAGGAAACGAGGATGGAAAGTTACGCAAGACCAAACAAACGGAGGTAAAAGTCGAAGTATATTTTAAAATGATGTTACTTTACTCTAATTTTTCATATATCTCCAATGATTCGACTGCTTAGATATTTCTTGCCTTTTTTGACGCTGCAGTTGACACCACAGTGTCACTACTATTTACATTAGGCTCTTAAAATATTCCTTACTGTTTACAACTCGATATGCTAATTTATGTGAAATTTATTTGTTGTTGTCAACTTCATAAAATCTGCATTAGTTCTCAGGTAGGTTTCTCAGAGTCTATGCGATCCGTTTCAATTAGAATTTTGCAACAAGCCTTCGACCCCTTGACCTGCTGGCCTATACCCCTTGGTCTCCTACGTCATAGGTTAGGGATTCTCTTACCAACTGGTCATTCGCGGTCAAATAATCATGATTACAGCAGCTATTAGCGACCGATGACAATACTATCAAATGACAAACTGACAGCTGTTGGCTCAAGCTTCATGGACACGATAGTCTTAGAATAATGCAACCTTTTAATTTTTTTCTTTATAGAAAGCTCGATGAAGTCCACGACGTTCCCGGTAGGTAACCTTACGAAGTTTGTCTAATCTTTCAACCCTAATGCACCTGATGTCTCTTTACAATATCTCTCGCCGCCCCACCCTGAATCATAATTATATAGAAGTCACCAGAATAAAGGAAATGATGGCGAGCTTAAGGAGCTCTTGATTGTTTGGAAAACAACTTGTTAAACCTTTTACAGACTAACATCAGTATGCATATTCTCCTTACTGGTGCCTAAACAATTCACAAGGTGCTGACGAGGAGAATTTGTTTAAAAAACAAGAGCTTCTTCTGTAGGTGATCATTTCCTTTCTTCTCTTCAACTTGATATGTGATTCTGGTGTGATGTTGTTAGGAGAAGTTAGATGCTAGTCACTCTAAGGGGGTCGAAGGGTTTGGATGGGGGGGGGAAGGGTACACTCGCTCCAATTTTACTGATTAAAATCTCAAGTATTTATTAATTTTTTTGTTGTCTTTGACACTCACGGCGTTTTTCGAGAAATGATTATAAGACAGCCGCAGAACGAGAAAAAAAAACATTCTTGAATGGATCAAGCTGTAATTTTTCACAACGTCTTTACTCGCTGTGTTTTTGTTTTAGGACCAACAGAAAGCCAATATCCTCACGAGCCCAGCTCTCAAGTAACCTATGGAGAACGTAAAAGAAATATACCTCAAGACCTGATCGACAGATTGAACATCAATTATGACGTCACGGAGAGATTACAGCGGCTAACGAAATTTTGTGGGAAAGCGGCTACCGCTGAGAAAATAGGAGGTGTTCTTACTGAAGGGGAAACGAATGATGGGTCAAACTACAACAGAGAGGAAATGACTAACGGGAATCACAACAAAGAAGACAAAGAAAGTGCAACTAAAGAAATCGGATGTAATAAATCTGTAGATGGAGATTGCGAACGAGGTAAGGGTTGAAGAGAGAGTTTACCCTTTTTTTTAACCGAGAAAAAAATTGTTGCTGATAGGGATTCACTCGCATTACCTTCCGAAAAGAGCTAAAGAGCTTGATTAACCCTGAGCCACGCGAGAAACTTCTGAAATTGATTTTCACGCCTTATACGAGACTCGCACGTGATACCTTTCCTGCATGGTGCTTGCATCAGCAGAGTTAAAGTAGCCTGAGAGTAAAATTGAAGTACAGAGGCAGCTCTTGTTTTTTAAACAAATTCTCATCGTCAGCACCTTGTGAATTGTTTAGGCACCAGTAAGGAGAATATGCATACTGATGTTAGTCTGTAAAAGGTTTAACAATGTGCAATGATACCGGTAGATATAAATCTTAGGCCTTTGTATTCCACAGACCATCTTTATATCAGATTCCTAGAGAATGGACTTAGTTTCGATAAACATTATACTCTGTAAACATTAGAAAGAAACAGATACTTGAGAACTGCATTTGAAATAAGTTTGACTGTAAAAATGTTAAAAAATAATATATGTGAACTGCGGATAAAGACGTGAATATGAAAGTGATCTTTGCAGTAAAGAAGAGGTAGGTCATGGCTTCAAATCCCGTACAGGCCTGAATTTTTTTTTCAGGTCTTATTTTCACTACTGCTTAAGTAGTGTTCATTACTGCGAAGATCGCTTTCATATTCATGTAATTAGTGTGTCATGTACCAGGGTGGGGGTTTCCAGGTGCTGCTACTTACTCTTAACTTAAGGATCGTGGTTAAAACGCCATACGAGCACTGAGCAAGACGTGCAAGTGACAAGTACGAATACATACAAGTACATGCGGCTACATAAGAGTGACACACGAATACCTTTGGGTTAAAATTTACCATTTTTTCTCTTCATGATGCAACCGAACCGTCAGTGCAGGTTGCAATGACCTGTTTTTACAAACACTCACATGTATTTACTCGTACGTACCCGTATGTACTCGTGTGTCTCTCGTATGTAACTCGTATGTCACTCGTATGTCACTCGTATGTCACTCGTATGTCACTCTTATGTAACTCGTAGCGTCTGCGTGGAGTTTTCGTCACGATCTTAAACGTTTTTTCCTTTCGAAGGTTTACCACCACTTCAAAATATTATGAAAGGCACAGAAACTGCAGCCTTAGGCAATGAAGATAAATTTGAGGATGCCGCCAATAATGTGGAACAAGCCGGTCCTGATGTTCTTATATTCAAACAGGTACAGTATATGACATGCTTGTGTTCATGAAAATACTTCTCGGTGAGGAATCGATGATTAAATTTTCTAAGAGGGTAAATGTGTGCTCTTAAAGGGCTAGGTTACGACAAGTGTATGCGCATTTGGAACGGAAAAAATATTGGTACCTTTTGCCGTCTGGTTTCGTACAATCCGTTAAATCCTGAGATTGGGCCACTGCGATAAGGTCTGAGATAGGATTCACGTCAAGGGTATATACTGGGTTTACTTTCTCCTGTAGATAGAGAATACTTTGTTGATTATAATCTTTCTTTAGGTGTTGAAAGAAATTATCGAACAGCGCACAAAGGTTGTTGAAGAAAAAGTGGCGGAAAATTCACTGAAACTTCAAAATCGGATACGAGAGCTCGAGAGAGAAAACAGAGAACTACAGTGGACTGCAAGGAGAATATTTGCTGCCTTTCGACAATTATTGATAGAGAATGAAAAAGTAAGTCTATTTCACCTGATTTACGTTCAAATGATATTTGCTTCGAATACCTACAATTTTCTTTTGAAGTTGCTCTAAACCCTCGCGAGTGTCTTCTGTAACAAAACTTGGTATGCGCGCTGTTTTTTAGGAAATCACCATAAATTATATATAAATGAAAAGTTTATTAAGTGCAGAAGTCGTTAAAGTTAAAATCTATTTTGTTTTTTTCCTCTTTTAAGGCAAACGAAACCGGGAAATAGAAAATGACTAAACGCCATACCATCGAGTCAATCGGATACCAAACTTGATTGCTGATGAAAAAAAGCGCCGACTCCCTTTTGTTCCTCAAAATTCATTATATATTCAGACCAAATTTAACGGAATTCGCCCGATTCAACAAACTCTATTCATTACGATTACGGGGGGGGAAGGGGGTGTTTTGTCGATTTTTTAGTTTTCTAAACATCTCACTTCTCCTCGGAAAATTATGTCAATACCAGGCTCGCACCGTCAGCCGTCAGCCGTCAGCCAATAATATAGTAGAACCCCTGATGTTCACAAAAGGCAAAATGGCGCTTCACAGTTTTCGATAAGCATGAGACCGAATGCTGAGGAAAGCTCTTTTTAGGGGGGGCCAGCCTGAGGAGATTGTTCCTAGTGTCCTCTCCTTCCGTTTAGCTGTAGGTGATCTGATGAATCAGTTTTTCTTTTTTTTTTTTTTTTTAAATTACCTAACTATAAATTAAACGCCTAGCTTTCCCTAAATCAAGTTTGTTTTATTTCAGAGCAAAGAGCCAAAAACATCACGCGGAGTCCAAGTCAGCACCATCTGTGAATCGGTAAAGAAACCTTTTGATCAGACATTACTGATCGAACGATATACCTTATTTGTTAAAAATCCTTTCAGCAAAGCACTTTTACTTCACACAACTAAAGTGCCAATTTTAAATGAATGAACTGATCGCTGAACTTGATTTACGAGCACATAAAGCTAAAATTAAGAGATTTTCTTTGATGCTGTAGTGTTGCTATAGTAACCTTGCATAACGTGAAGATGGCGAAATAATGTTGAGATGTAACTGGACACTCTTTTGACACTATTTTGAGGGAAACCTATTAAAACATGTGGAAGTATCGGTCCATCAAAGAATTGGTGTTTCAAATTAACAAAAACTATTTTTAACAACCTTATGAAGCTATTGTTTTATTTCCTAAATTGCAGGCCTCTGAGAAAGAAGTCTCCGAAAGAACACTTCACATAACCACTGCCGCAAAGGTAAATGGTGTAAGCACAATTCTCGCGTCGACGACAGCAGCTCCCCTGACATCTATTGCATCAAAAGTTGTGACATTAGCAGAAGATCCACAGCCCTCTCTTCAAGCAGCGCCAAGGGTGTTATTTGATTCGCAGCAACCCTTGACAGAGAAGCCGGCACCTACCGCTGTTGTGTACACTGTGAAACCCAGACTTGCCCAACTTGCAGAAAAGCAGAATGGTACTAGCACTCACAACCGTTTCCATGTGCCCCGTCCTTCAGCAAACGAATCCACAGCGGCTTTCTTACAAGTAGAACCAGGACAATCTTCGGAATCAATAGCCTCCAGAGCATTCAGCCAACCTCCTCCGGCTCTGCAGAATCAGGCAAAATCTCTTTTGGAACTGATTCGAGAAAATCAGCTTAAGCTATCCCAGCAAACGGAACGTCTGGAACGACAGCAGCAAATTCAACAGCAACGCACATCACATCCGTTGGTTCAATCAACGCAACAACATCCATCTGAAACTACAGCTTCCCTTTTACAACAATTGCAACGTCAGCAACAACTTCAGCAACGGCAACAACACTATCAGAAACTGGTGGAACGCCAACCGCATAAAACACTTCTACCAACATCAAGTCAAATAACTGATCAGGTCACACCCACTTTGTCCGTCTTTTCCTCCCAAAAGCAACGACATTCCACACCAGAACAACAAGTAAAATCCCAGTCCCAATTGGTCAGACCTTCAGATGAATCGCAGGAAAAGCGGCCGTCAGCTAATTCTTCTATTGCCTTGCTACAGCAAAGAGATAATTCAGCAATTTATCATAGGCCATCCCCAAGTCACATGCATTTCGTGGGAAACTCACAGACCAAGACATCGTCAGTTCCCTCGCATCCGCCAATCATGTTCAACACAAAACAGATTGATGAGGTCTTGAAACGCAACGAAACAGCTTTGCCTCCAAATGGGAAGAGTCCAATGTACATGTCAACCCCTCAACGTGAACCTCCATCCCAGTCTACTTCTTCAAAACAAGCTCCAATTAATCTTCAAAGATCAAACTTAACGCACACGAAGCCTCCAGCACAGGAGGTGATTAAACATCACGTCCACCACGAACGGCATGTATTATCAGCACAGCCTGCTGCAGAAGTGACAGTGGAAAACGCGGTAGCACGAGGTCAAACGAATACACCACTTTCTCAGCGCCTGGTATCAACTGACATTTTCCATGCTCGACCAAAATCAGTCGGTATGCAAAAGCATGCGCAGCATCCAAGCTCTCAATTGCAGAATATGCAATCACGACCACCACCTCAAGTCGCAACCCAAATGCAGAACACAACTGAAACCAAGCCTGAACATGAGGTTTCCTCCTCCCTGTCTACAGCAATCGCTAAGCACAAACCAATTCAATCGGATGTTTCAAGCATGCCACAAACTATTTTGGTTCCAGCTCGCAAAAAACACACAAGTGAAGAGCTCCTTCCTTCTGGTTACAGATTCTCGCTTCCATCACCTGAGTATCTTCTTCAGCGTCGGAAGCTATATGAACAAACGCAAAACCGTGCTCAACCGCTGACTTCCCAAAGTAGACAAGTATCCATGACTCATTCCCTTGAAAATAACTCTTCGAAGGAGAGAATAATGGTCTCTTCGACGCATTCTAGTGGACACGCAGAAGCTGTATATACGATGCAGTCCTCCAACTTTCACACCACAGCCATCCCAACTCGACCATTCCATCAAAATGGGCAGCGCGTTGATGTACCAAGCCAGTTGCCTCATACGGACGCTTATAACCCTTTTCTATGTCGACCATCAGATATTCTTCTGTCGCAGAAGAAGCAACATGAAAACCTTTCACAGTCTCGTAACCAGTTGTACAAACCACTTCAAGGGCAAGAACAAGGTCAGTTACCTACAGGAACAGACGAAGGTGGAAATCTTCGAAGTAGCGTACCATCTCTACATAGGCCTCCCATCCAATCTCCAGGAATATCCTCAAGTGATCCACGTATTGAGAAGAATCCCCGTGAGGCTGAAAAATCAAGTATGGCAAATAGTTTAACCCGGAGTTCTTTAAGCGATCATGGAGATGCACTAAAACCTCTTCCTAAGCCGTCAGCGTCGATTGCTGCGAGGGAGAAAAAAATTGTTCTCTCTTGGAATATGGAACATGATGACACATCAGTCAAAGTAGATAATTACGAACTGTTTGCATGCCAAGATGTCGACGAAAGCAAAGGCCAACCAATCAAGTGGAAAAAGATAGGTATCGTGAAAGCTCTTCCACTTCCAATGGCTTGTACACTCACTCAGTTCTCTTCTGGCAGCAAGTATTTCTTTTCTGTTCGAGCAGTGGATGAAAAAGAACGAGCTGGTCCATTTAGTGATCCGTGTACTGTCTCACTAAGTTCTCACAAAGTTGCTTGATATGCAACTGAACGAAAACTTACCCAGGTTATTTAATAATTTATTCATTTTTTTTTGAGGGGGGAGGGATGTGACGATTTCTCGACATTGTTTTGATTTTTCTATAACATTGTCGAGTACGTTTTTTGTTTGTTTTTTGCTTGGATTATATAAAAAATTGTAAAATGATAACACCCAGTAGAATTGTCAAATTAAGTAAATTGAGATTGGAAACATGAGAGGACTCCGATAGTATTTGGTTTGTCCTCCCTAATGTTCCTTTCCTTTGCAATGTGATCATTGTGCTCATAAAGGCTTTGTTCGCCTTGCTCCTCAGGCTACTCTCACTTCCAAATAGGTTTTTCCACTTTCTTAAAGCCCTCTCCCTGATCGATAAAATTCTCCATGAACGTTTCTCGGTTTTCTAAATAAGCATGAATCAGTGATATCACTGAGACCTCAGTTGCTATTTTGTAATTTCGTCATAAAAGCGATAGCGAAAAGTCAGACAAAATCCACATAATACGTTATAGACACAGGTGCGTCTTACATTTAAAAGTAATGATGGTGGAGCTCGCAGCGCCCTAAAGGTGATTCATCAAGAAAAAAAAAGTTATTAAACAGTTTTATTTAAACTTTTCTTAAATGTTTCCTTTCAATGTCTGTTCGAAAATGACAATAAAAAAGATAGGGCTCTGTGCTTGTTTAAGAGATATGATGAGCCAAACTTAATCCATTAATGCCTGTGATGGAACTAACCACGCGAGTCATTTTCATGGTTCACAGTACATTATGAGGCAGCTAAAAGCAAGGGCTTTCAAAGTTACACTTGAAAAAAACTTGATAGGTAGAAATTCTCAAGCGTAGGGAACAATTTGACGTAAATCTGTGAAAAAATCACCCATTTTTAAACAACATCGACCCGTAACGTTCCTCGAGTCGTTGCCCTCCGCGTCATAGTAGGAGGGCAACGTTCCTCGAGTAACGGGCTTCGTGCACGCTTTTACCTAGATCTTCTTTTCCCTTGGATGAAGTTTTTTTATTTCTCCAATTTAAAGGAGATAATTTGTACACCAAAATTATATGATAAAATATAGGTGACCGTTCTCGCTCAAGAGCTAAAAATAATCACACCTCTTTACCGGGTCCATTTACTGAAAACCACCACCTTCTTCTCGGAATGCGCGCGCTTATTCGCCTGATTACGCAATTTTTATGCTCAGTACAGGATGCGCGGTGCAATCCTAAGAAATCACCTTAGGACAGGCGTGCAGTGTGGCATATCACTTTAATAATTGGTAACCCAACGAAGCCCAGAAAATTTGGTCTTGATGTTAGACCATACATCCATCCGTCCATTTATGATTTACGTGCGCTGCATTGCAAGTGCAACACGTGCCTTGAAATGTAAATGAATATTAGCGACTGTCAACGTCCCCGAAAAGAATGTTTTTTATACCCTGTCTCGATCGAAAACATAATATAGAGCTCCGAATGAAAAGCAAATATGTTAAAGAGTATTAGAATTTTTTTAAAAGTGCTTTGACTCTCAATTGCACCATACTTGGATTCGCAAAAGCAATGCGAATTACGGCAGGAAAATAAAACAGAAGTCGCTCACTCAGAGCAAAATGTTTCGAAATTTGGAAAATTAAAGATATCGTTTGATTTCAGACTTTGTGTACTATCAAGCAGAAATCAGAATTTTCAACAGAAACTCGCAGAATTTCCTGTTTGTCAAATCAAATCAACAACGTTCAAGTATGGATTATTCTGTTGCGTGGTTTTCGTTTTTGCGAAAAGCTCCCATTTTTTTGTACTACTAAAAGCAAATCAGCTCTTCTCTAAAAATATAGGAATTTAATTTTTTGATCAAGTGTTGGGAAAAATACCTGGAGATTCGCTTTCAAGCCGCGCTAAAATCTAATTTACGTCTTACTTGCATTTGAGCCAGCAAAGAAAGCGCTGTTTGCTATATCTTCACGGTCACTACGAGTAGAAAACGACCTAAAAGGCCTCTTGGCGAGTCATTTTCCTCCATTAACCAATCACAGTCCTCCTTAATTATGAGTTGCGTTGATCAAGCTCCGTGAGTGACGCCAAAGATCAAGAACTGGTGCCGCCACCTGTTGCAGCTAGCTACTGAAAATTTCCGGCATTTTTTTTACTTGAACACAGCTTTACGTGATTTGAAATCCCCTATAAATCTGTAGGACACCAAGGAGTATTTTGATGTTTATTTTCGTCCTTTTCATTGTGGATTAACCGGTTTTAGGCAAAAGCTGTGCACAAAAAAGAACTCTCCAAGGAATAATAGTGCGACTGACCGAGGTAAGTCACCAGTTGGTAAATTATATGTAAGTAGGGAATTTCTTGTTTGCTTTCTTGTGGTAAAGGTTCTTTTAGACTTGCGATTTCAATGTGATTTACAAGTCTTAACCTCAGTTGAAGTAAGCAGAGTCTGTTCTTCTGGGCTGAAACTACAACATCATCTTGAATATAGTAAACACTGACACGAAACCAAAACCATTGTAATTACGGAACAAAGCTATAACACGGTAGCGCTATGAATCGGTTTTTATAACTTCAACTGAATATCTTGTCAACAATTCGAGAGGGAAAGTTAATAACCTTGGTTTAAGACTGCAAAAAAATTGTAATGTATTGCGATTTGAAATTATTCATGAATTCAAACAGGAAAACCGCAGTCGCCGCCCATCTTGTATTTTAGGCCTCGACGGACAACATTAATTGACGACAAATTGCCATATCAAAGATAAAGGCGGTTAGATCTCATTTCCGTTATGCATCGTATTTCGTAGGGCCATTCGATCAGTAAATCAGTAAAAATACTTTTTTTAAGCCGGCGACATTTTGTACTTTACAGAATGTTTAATCTACGTGGTGTCAACAGATTGGATAAGTCGAATTCTGCCCGCTGTTGGCGTGAAAATTCATTCTTGATTTTGAAAAAATACATGTATTTTTTAATTTTTTTCCCTTCGTTTGAGAGGCGGATATTGAATAGTCTTTCTCTGACTCTAACAAGAGATAACCACGAGAAGCTTTGACACATGCTAAATATAAACAGTGTGAAACTCTTAAGCTTAAATTCAAGCGTGTTGAGAACATAGTGTTCACAACTCCAGGAAATTCATTAAATATCTCTGTTCTTGGATTTTCCTGTGAATTTTAGTACAAGTAAGCGGGATTTTACTTAAGTTCCACTGATTAGGCGCGCTCAGTGAAGAGATTATCCACCGATAATGAAGAAGATCAAGGTCAAATGCAACGATATTGAGCAAATAATTAAATAGTAAATAGATAGGTCGGTAGGTATAATGAATAGGTAGAAAACATATGAAAGAATAAGCGAAAGTTTAGGGATACTTGCTAATTCTGACAGAAGTCAACCGGAATGTGAACTGAAGCAGACGACGACATACAACTTAACCTGCACCATCATAATAACAAACAACAGGTTTCTCACTGTCCCATTAACGACCAGTTAGTGTTTAAGACTGGACTCGCTACGTGCAAAAATGTCCTCGTTTTTAGCCGGGTTTTCATTAATTTTCAAGAAATAAGAAAGTTATCTCTAAACAGCAATAAAGTTACGGCCATCAAGGCCACATTAGCCAATTATTGTCCTCTTTAGATCTTCAAGTTATCTTTTGTTTTGAAATGTTTTTAGGGCTTTCACATCCGCTTTAGTTTTTGTAACTACAGATCAAACAATGTATCCTTTGCGCAATGATTTAACATATAAATTTCACAATTTAAAAGGAGAAAAGCATACCAACATCTATTTAAAAAGAGTCATTTAGGATCCTTGAACATCAATTGGTCAACCTTTTCTCTTAATAGGTTTATCTTGAATGAGATAAGGAAAGAGATGAGGTTACTTTTCCTTATTTTTGTGATAGCCTGGTTTCATCCATCGGTTTATTCAGGTAAGATGTTTATCGCTGATATACCTGCTGTCGTAATTAACAATAATTCTACTTTATCTATCACAAGGACTGTTTATAAAGCCCAATATTCACTGCAAAGGGGTTAACGTATAGTTTATTTTTCTTGACATGAAAAAAATACTAATTGATTTATGGATTCATTGACTGATCTGTTGACGGATTGATTGACTAACCGTAGATGTCGGAAATCCTTCCGAGTCACATAAGTCTGCGTGGAACCTAAAACAGGTCAACAGGATCCAGTTTTGTGTTCACACCACTCATGGTGAAGTTTTGGATGATTGGAGCATTGCATTGTGGTGAACAGTTCTATTCGATCGAGTCTTGTTGTTCTTGCGCCAGTATTTCACATTTTAAATACAGATCTTTGTTCAATGTTTCGCATCCTCGTTGATAGTCGACATAATCTTCAAGGTGTGAGAATGTTTTCATCTTCTGTTTTCTTTTATTTCAGCTCCGTTTGACGTTCGCATTGGAAGAGGTAAAGATTGCTCACATTTGGTTCAATGTGTGTAATTAAGTGGAATAATTTGATAATATTACATTCACGATAACTTGGTTTTTCTTTATTGTACCTTCCTTTGCTTTCATTGTTTTTCAAACTTATGAAGATCGTGTCTTTAACGCAGGGCTTGCACTAAGACTTCATAGAAGGCAGGTTGCATATCAAGGTGAGCAATTATCATGGGCTGTATTTGAAAGTAAACGTGACATCTGATTGGTAAATTATCATTTATCGTCGTTTGTGAATAGAAGCAAACCAGTAGTTCTTATGTTTATTTCCTCTCATATTATTTTTCATAGGTTATCCAGGTTATCCAGAGTACACGTCTACCACGTCACAACAGACATTCAACCAGAATGTTGCAACACAGCAGACAGGCGTCACATCTTCACGTAAGTACAGTCTTTCCTTTGCTTGTTTGATCAGGAGGAATTTCGACCTCCTTAGAAATTTGTAAAACCACAGTCGGAAATGCGTTAAGACAGCTTATGTCTTTGGTTTATATTTTCTTCTCCTTCTTACATATTTTAAACATTGCTTTTGTTTTGTAGCATTTCAGCTTTTAACAGTAGATCTTAAAAAAAAATTCACACATTTTCAACCCGGAGGCTTCGCACAACTGATGCATATTCAGAATTATGGACACCCTTAAAAACTAGTAGGAAGCTTTAAGACTATCACAAACACTTTTATAACGAGATTTATCTTGAGTTACTTTTTAAAATAGAAACCTTGAGCTCAGCTGATTTGAACGGCAGTCCCGGAGCGACGGTTGCCTCAACTCCGACAACGCAGACAGGACAACAGCAACTAGCAACCCAAACTGGTGCTGGGGTTGTCCCAGTTCAGAACATCTATCACACTTCCTATTCTTCTTTGTCAGCTGCTGAAAATTCATATCCTAAAAACAGCTCTTCTACGCAAGATGTGACACAATCATCAGGAAATTCATACAAAAACAGTTCAGCAGCTCCGGTTGCCACAAATTCAACCCTTGGCGACAGTTACCCTGTATACTATGTGTCAAGCTATCAAGAGCAAACTATACAGCAGCCGATTTCACAACCTACATCAAATGCAACGACAAATCCGCCTTCTTCCTCATCTACACTAATAACTTCATCATCAGCACGTAATAAAGATAATTATCCAGTATACTACGTCACGAGTCCTAACGACGAAAGCCAACAGACACCTGGAATCAGCGATAACAATTCGATCCTCGATAAATCAACAAAAACCGTCTCTCCAAATAATGATACTGATAGTTATCCTATCTATTATGTGAGCAGCTATAACAATGCCACCACTCAGAAAACACCAGCTCAGAATATAACAGCTGGTTCAATCAATGGAACTGATACGTCTGACAGTTATCCTGTTTACAATGTGGTCAGCCCTGAAACGAGTAAGGACGGTTTAAGAGAACCATCAAATAGCAAGGTTCCCGACTCACCCGTTACTTATGAAATAATAAATAGCACGTCAACTTCTAAACTGAACGGTAACAATTCTGTTCCTTCTTCAATTCCATTCAATAATACCCAGTCTACAGCTAGTAGCAGTAACTATCCCTCTGCTTCCACATCAGCGCCGGCATCACCACCAGCAAATAGTGCCTATAACTATTCATCTTATCCTGTGGCTCCTGCTCCCTACAGTACAGGCAGCACATCATCCCCTGCAAGTGCTCCTTCTCCAGCAACCTACCAAGGCTACGGAACACCATCAACCTCAGCATATCCAGCGCCAGCGCCAGCTCCATATCCTGCGCCAAGCTATTATGGCTACTCAGCCAGTCAACCATCTGCATCACCATCAACAGTTCAGTCACCTGCACAGCCTTCAAATAACTCGTACGCTTCCACATCTCAAGCTCCAGCCCCAGCCCCAGCCCCAGCCCTAGCTCCGGCTCCGGCTCCGGCTCCGGCTCCAGCCCCAGCACTAGCTCCATCTTCTTCGTCTCCATCGACCATACAGACATCTGCACTGGCTTCAACCAGCTCGTATATTTCCACAAATCAGTCCTCAGCCCTTGCACCTGCTTCAGCACCAGCTCCACCTCCAGTTCCTGCTTACCGTCAGACTCCAGCTCCAGCACTGACACCAGCTTCAGCTCCAGCTCCAGCTTCAGCTTCATCTGCATCTTCCCCTCAAATCACCGGCGTGTCATCTTCTCCTCCTCCTCTTTCATCAGAAGCCGAGTCCTCCTATTCTTCAGCTGGAGATCAGACGTCTTCTTCTGTTCAAGTCTTGAACACTCCTACCTCCCTTTCTAACCTGAGCTCACAAGAAACTCTCAACTCAGAATACGAAAACGCATCATATGTCATCGCCACCCCTCCTGAGAAAGAAACGATTATGTTTCTTCCTTCTCCTTCTTTTCCCTTGTCTTCACAAGCCACAAAATCAGCAAGTTCTAAAAACGCAAAAAGTTCATCTTCCAAACAAATGAATCAACCATCTCTGTTAAATGCCACTATTTCTAAACCCCCAGCTCTAGCCAATACAACAGAGATCACTGCCAATCCCACTTCTAAACCACAAGTGCCTCCACCGGCTATAAACAATACCAACACGCAACAAACCTCAAATGCTTCGCTGTCAGTCGTGCCCCAGAACATCAGTTTTCCTGCTTTCAGAAATATGACGGACATGTCTAACACATCTTTTGGTGAACCTAGTTATAGCCCTCTGCCAGCTCCAACAGACGGACCAGTAATCGAGATACCATTATCTCCTGAGGAACAATTTCATTCGCCTTCGGTAGTCAAGACGAAACCGCCTCCATCGCACTTACCGACAAAGCCTCCCCCTGCGGCTCATTCTGTGCTAGTCACGACAAAACCTCCTGCGGCTGTTGGAGCTCATGCAACTGCCAAACATAAGGCGAATGAGTTGGGCTTTGGCGACAAATATTTAGGTATAAAAATTTTGCTCCTATAGCTTAATCTACCCTTTTTTCGAAATTTTTATTATATTCTTGGGTTTTTACAGCCCCTAAATAAACGTGCTTGCCATAGGAACGTAATATTCGACGATTATATTTTGTAAGGCGGAGATAAAAATTTTTATGGAGTATATGTATGTCTCTTTTTTTAGATAGGTAAACCGTCAGGTCTTTTGACTTTATACTGTATGTCGATTTTATTAGAATTATTCAGACAAATTTGCTGTAGTAGTTCTTTTTTTTTTGATAAAGGATTGCAATGAAAAGAGCGGCAAGCACAAAATAATAGTGAAAAAATCCAATCTAAATGCCTTTATGAATTTTTGTTTTATTTTTTTGGTTTCTACAGCCTCTCAAAATAAACGTGCTCGCCATAGGAACGTAATATTCGACGGAATCGCCGGAGACAGTCAATGTAAGTATTTCAAGAACACAAAATTGAGACAGTAAGAGAGCTTTCTTCTCAAATTTGTTCTCAAATAAGCTTTGTGCATGGGTTAGAGTAATAACCATGGACGATTTGCAGTCAAACAATATGACAGTTCCTCTTGGTTTAAGAGTGATCACCTTGACGTGGTTCTCTCGAGTCGAATAATCTCGTTCTTACAGTCACACTTAAGGATTCGCGAGCATTTCCATTCCTCGTCCTGCCATATTCATTACCATATGCCCACATCGATTCTTTTCCTTTCGTGCAGAAGAAAATCCTTCTCTCCCCAACACCTCATAGATTGGCATAAGAGCAGTACTAGGGCGCCATATAAGTTCCATTGCAATGGTTAATCCGTGATATACAGAGTGATGCACATACAGTGTGTCCATCTCAAATTCCTTTCGTCCGCATTTTTGTTATAGTAAATAAACATAAACTTTCTTTTCATCCTATCAGCCTTCAGCAACTATCAAGTATTCAGTCAGCATGATGTATTCTTCCCAAGAAATGGTAGGAAACGAAGAAATGTACCCGTTACTTAAACCTGGTGACTGAAAAGTGTGGATGATTTACCGCAGGTCAAACGCAGGAACAAGTATTTTCAATGGGAATCTTAAATGCTCAAAAGCAACCGCCACGTTTGCAAAGACGTAGAAAATAAGCATTGTAAATATAACATTTCTCATAGTATATGTTTATATATCTCTTCCAGTATTCTAAAGCGAATCCGGGATCTGATTGGGTGCAGTCCCAGCTATTTATTTGCTCAGAGAACGGAAAAAAAACTCAGGTTTTCGCTAATAAACATTTAGTAATAGTCACTACTAACCCGCTTTTAGAATACAGTACTTGAGAGAAAAATGGGAAAAACTAAAAAAAGTTTCTTTCGATTTCAGTTATCTTCCTGATTAGAGCTAGGGAGAAAAAAATTAATTCGAAAACGTTTCGGTAATATAATTCTATGTTTTGAGTCATTGTCACCAAAGGAATTTGACGACTAACAGCATAACTCTATATATGTTTATTCCGAAATCTTTCTGTTCAACGATTTTACGAATGTTAAGATATCAATGAAGCAAATTATTTTCGTAGCAACCGTTAAAGTTGAAACACATTCAATGGTAAATTCTGATTCATGAAGTACTTTAACCAAGTGCTTCCTTGGGACGTGTAGACTGTAGCAAAGCTCTGTTCATCTTTATCAAAATACTCTGAATGTAAAAGATGAATTATCTGTTCCGAAATGATGTATTTCTCTGAACAGATGTTAGCAAATGTATAACCTGTACAAGACAATCTCAGTAAATCCCCCATTACATTAGAATCTCGTCTATGGCTGCCAAACCCCTATTAATATATTCCATTCTGCTTATCGAGAAGATTCTGCTAATCAAAAATTCAGGGGAAACTTTCCTGTCCCACAAATGAGCTTCACACATAGACAAAATTTAATTGTTTCAATATTTTAAGTTCTTCCTTTTTCGATTGCGCCACATTGGTTAACCCATGCATTTCCTGGTCATTAAAGTTGTGATATATTTGAACCAGTCTCCATAAATAACAAAATAAGGTTGTTTATTCTATCTCCCTTTGTCAGAAATTTGATATGTACATGTATACATAGTTCAGACATCACTTGTTGTAGCCACGATTATAACTCATCATTTCAAGCGATTCGTAGCTTCTTCTTTAATGTTTCCCTGTAGGCAAGACAGTTCAAAATATATTAAAATATGTACTTAAATCAATGTTGTGACAACCACACATCACCAATCTTAAACGCAAAGTTTTCTGTATTTGATGTAAGGTTTAAAAATTGGGGAGTATTACTCGGGTATATCCTCGGATATCCTTCAGTTTTATCTGGGAGATTTAAGTCACGGGACACATTTAGACCAATCGGGCGCGAGAAAAAATATTTCTTGTATCATGATGGGTTTTATCTTAGAGGGTTATTTATAACCTTGTTACAGGTAGTATTCTCTTGGTATGTGGCGTTAGTCAATTCTATATCACTATATTTCACTCATTATTGTATTTATGGTTGTACACCGTTTGGTTTCTTTATCGTACTTAATTGATTCACGTTACAACCTATTCATTTCCCCCCTAATCTTAAAAAAGATAAATAGAGGAAAAGGGGGGAGTTGCAAGTAGGAGAATCTAAAACCTAATGGCAATTTTTTATTACCCAGTTTTTGTCTCCTTCTCTTCCGCTGATCTTTTGTTGTGGTTAACCAAAATGTGTTGCCTTGTGAGCACCGTGCTGCTTCCGCCTGCAGAAAAGAGATAGCCACAATGTTGCGTTAGGCACTCAACAAAAGCAGAGTGTAATAAGTGTACTACGCGTAATAACCGAATAAGTACTGAAAGGTTATTTGATGATTATTTCAAAAGCGAGCGTTAATTTTGACTTGGTTATGCAAATCACGGGATAACTGTTTTACTCAAACCGAATATACTGACTGTCATGTTCATGTTGCAATCAATCGCCTAAAAAAGGACCTCCAGCTTAAATCATAGTCAAATAGCCAGTGATGGTTAAGCCAAACAGAACTCTAGAATTTCATTTGGGATCTAGTTATCCTATAAGATCTTACACAACATCAGGTCTACCACTGCCGTCAACCAATCAGACGAAGAATGATAACCATTGGTGTGTGGTCGCCCTTAGTTCGGTTCAGTCGAGGCAGTGTATTCTCACGTATTCTCTTTGCTCTGATTGGCCAATCTGGTTAGGTTGGTTTTAGTGTTACTACACCAATCAAAAAGCGCTCTCACATACATTGTATAAATGCAGATTTGTTTTCTTACCGTAAGGATCTCCACCAACAGAATCAAAATAAACATTGCGGTGTCTTGCAGCGTAGTTTAACCTTGCTGTCGACAGAATCATCATTATTCACACATGTTAATAGTGAATTTCATCAATTAGCGGAAGAGGGAGCCAGGAGTGGCATAAATACGTTTTTATCACCTCTGAATGGTTCAGGCCAACATCTAGCTAACTTAAAAGCAGTAATTGCACAAATCCCTTACCAATGCCATCTCTCTTCACGGCTTCTGGGACGTTTGAAGGACTGGATTGAACCGCTGGATAATATTGACTGGTGGCTCCGGCTATAAAAAAAGAAGGACTATAAGATAAGGACTATTGTCCATTACTCAAGACTTTGATCTTTAGTTGGCTTTTTCTAAAACGTTAAACACAACTCACATGAATCTAACTGCATTTGTATCACCATGACAACTCACTCTGAAAGTGAGATTTATTAATTAATACTCCCCTTGAATTATTGAATTACTTAAGTACTCACGTGCTGTTGATAATTCTCCTAGTGAAACAGATCTCCTCTTTTTGTGATTAATGGCAATATGTGAACGAGACAGAACAGGGCTACTGTGACCTGTTTGTAAAAGGGGTGAGAAATATGAGTGATATTTAACTCTAGACAATAATTATGCCTATGATATATTGTGGTACCCTTTAAACGATGTAATGTTTTCGATGATGCAGGTTATTTTTTGACTTCACGTGGCCCCTCGGGAAATGATAACACGTCTGACTAACACTATTCGTTATTCTGATGAAGAATGAATAGACGACCCCACGAAGAATCCACTTAAGCACATATCATGGCACACAAATGGCAACCTCTAGTCCTTCTCTGGAATTGGTAGTGATCTAAAATCAATTTTAGAGGGCAGTACCTATAGGATAAGGTTAACAATGCCTTTATCACCTATTTTTAGATTCTTGGAACATTTGTTTGGAAAGTTTTTAGGGCTAAAATTTACGCTTTTTACTACCAAATGAAGACTGTAGTTAAGTTCGTATTGTACCTACCATATGGATCTCCTCCAACAGTGTCGTAATACACATTGCGATGTCTGGCGGCTTGATTTAGTTGTTCTGCAGCATTAAATAAACGCAAAATGTATCAGAGGAACTAAAAAAAGTTCGATACTGCCTCTATAGTTATGAAAAGCTTTTGCCCTTCATATCATATTAATAATTTACGCCTATACATCAAGATGGCCCCGTCTTGCGAATTCTTACATTAAGACTCGTCCTGAACCTGAGATGGGTTTCTGAAAACATTTCTCGCCTATTTGTGATTTTTCTTTCGCTACAAAAATCAAGTGACAAAGATCAGACAGCAATATAAGCGAAAAAGGCCTACAACCATACCAATAGTGTATCTTTTGTCATCAGCTGGGTGTCTTCCTCCGGTTATTTGCTCTTCAAAGAAAGCGGAAGGGAGCTGACTACCATCAACAGTTTGAGCTAAAAGGGTAAATAAATAGAATTCAAATTTCTAAAAAAAAATTAGTAATACCTCGATTAGTTCTCTGATCTGAAGAGTGTGCCAAGCGATTTAAGGAACTATGCCCAATGACGAAATTGAGAGCGAAGATTTTCCCGTCTCTTAGTTTCATCTCCCCAGTTTAAATCATATACGCTTAAAATCATTTACATGTATAAAACCGATTCACCTGATTCGGGTTGAGTGAGTGATCTCTTTTTCTTGTGATTGACAGCAATATGTGAGCGAGACAGAACTGGACTACTGTGACCTGTTTCATGGGTGCAAAAAAATGCAGTATTGATGATAAAGCAACTTTATTTCACACCACCACTGAGATAATTTGCATTTTGTCGGGCGATTTCAAGTTTTATCCTTATCCTGTTATAGAATTATTAAAGATGACCCGTTTAGTAGTTTGGAAGAAATAATATACCTGAGAAACTTTCTCACCGTTTCTAGCTCAATACATATAATTGGTTCAAGTTAGCAGTTTGAATTGAAAGTGATTCACTCACCATACGGGTCTCCACCAACGGTATCGTAGTAAACATTACGATGTCTCGCCGCTAGGTTGAGTTGTTCTGGGGAAAAGTTTAAGTCAAAAGATATCATATCGTAAAGATGAGAGATGTAATAGTAAAGAGTTATTGTATGGCAATATCAAAGATTTTTAGGTACCAATTGTGTATCTCTTGTCGTCATTTGGATGTCTTCCTCCAGTGATTTGCTCCTCAAAGAAGGCTGAAGGGAGTGGATTTCCAATGGTCTGACCTTCAAAAAGAATAAACGTGTTTCAGGGTATTTGGATGTTGCAATTGTCGTGATTTACGTGATTCGAACTTATTTGCTATCAAGCTTGACCCATTTTCGTTTGATTTCTTGGTCAGACGAGCATGAATTGTTCAAACGTCTACATGCAGCTTCTACTCTCATGGAACGTACGACGAATTTCCCCATGTTTAAGGCACAATGATATACAAAATACCTACCGATATTTGCAGGGTCCACTATTCCACTTTTCTTAAATTCATTCATTCCATTTTGACCGGCGTAGGGTATTTCCAAACCTGAAGAAAATTATTTTTTATGAGCTCGTAGTTTTTAAAAAGGTAGCTCGGTAATCGGAATAAAAGAATAGTGCAATTGAAATGATACTATCTCCTGCCGTGTATCAACATCAGTCTAATAAAGATCTAAGAAATTTTGAAGTTAACCTTTACTGAATTGAATTTATAAAAGAATTAAAATGAAATAAATCTCAATTCTCGAGATTTTGGATTTTCATCTTCGTCCAGTGACTGCATTTTGTCTGGCATTTCTTCCCTTCGTACCTTTGCAAAAGGCAACAGCTCCACACAATATGCTGATAATGGGTATAAAACTCCCCATTTTGGCGTATCTGTTAGTATTGGAAAATGAAAATGAAGTTAATCTTTGAGGTCAAAAGCTATTTCTTTGGTTGCCCCCCCCCCCCCCTTTTCGCTCACCCTTAACTTAGTCTTCTATCTTTATTTCTGTTTTTTTTCCCATTGCCGCTAATTTGCCCCATGAATCATCTGTCCTTGACAGATACCAATCTTTAAAAAACAATATGACAAACTTATGATCATTATTATATGAAGTATGTTAATTTTGAATTGAAAATCGTATTTCTAACTTTAGTAACCAGATAAGGCCCTTAATAGTTTCCCCGTGTTGCGTAACCGTCCAGTGTGTGAATCTGCTTCTTAGTAATCAGTCCTGTCATGTCGGTAAGTTAATGGCTAAAAAATCTAGCAAACACTTCCATAAATTATTTAACATCCTTGGTAATTTAACACACAGCACTTAAGTTAGAAGAAATTGCCTGTAACCATGCACCGATGTCTGCTTTCCTTTATGAATTTATTGTCGTTTCAGCGACGTTTTTCCGAGTTTCAGACGGATCTATTAGTCCCCCATTTACTTATATGTTGTGTTACGATGGTTTTCTTTGCATAAACACAACAACACCAGACATACGGGTAATTTGCTTATCAAGTAGTCACTGGTAAGAACTGAGGTCTGCAAACATACACGAACAGGCCCATTCAGAAGCTTTAAATATGGATCCATAATTTCTATCTTCTCCAAGCTGTTTAGCATATACTTATTTCCATAATTAGCATTGAAATTAGGATCTCATCGGCGAAAAATAAGGGTCTTTCTATCCATGATAAACAATTCTTACTACGGACAGTATATCTCACCAAGCAAAACTAGAACAACCCTGTTGGTGTAGTTCAATTTGACCATTCACCAAATACAATTCATTTCGAGATTGTACTTAAGAATACAGATATCAAGTCGTGATCAGCATAACCTCTTCAAACAGACCAGCTCCTCAAATTGTTGTACCCTGTCCTAAGCAAATTACTGGCGGACAACATAACGCCATTTATAGACTTAGTCTCCGGGATGCCGTTATTTTTAGTTCCTCCTGTATCTCTATGATTTGTGATTAAACAACAAAATATCCCATGGAGACAAGAGATTAGGTCTGAATGAATAAAAGTAAAATAGTAAAACACCATGTGTAATTAACGGCCATAACAGCATTTATAAAATTCGGACAGTCCAATATCTACAAGAATCTAGTTACCGATTCAATTTAGATTCCTTCTCAATGACAAACAAAAATATGAATTCTTCTGCTAATCACTTACCAAGTGTTGTCCGTTTCAAAATTGTAATCAGCGAATTCCAACTAATTTTATGTTAGGATTTCACACGAGAAGAAACTCGTCCAAAGATCTGTTGATGCTCCAAGGCGGACCGTGTCGAGGTTGGTTTCATCATGGTGGCTTACCACAAGCAAGCTTTCTTATTGGTTGTGCCTTAAACTCCTGTCAAACAGGTACCACGTAGGATGGGTCAATAATATCAATATCCTTGTTTGAAAATGACGTGTTTGTAAATCTTTCGTACACTGATTTTCTCTCCTCAATCCCTCTCGTTCTCTCTAAGGGGTAAATAATTTCTTGAAATCTAAACTTTGTAACTTTCGCTCGCAGCTACTTTCCGATTTTATAAACTGTCGTTTCCTATCGTTTGTACAGTTAATACAGATAATTTTCGATCGACTGTTCAGTTGCGTTTCGAGCAATAAGACACTTCGTTAGGTTGCCTCACTCTTGACGCTATACCACTAGTGAAAAAAAAAGTATTAATAACGTTTCAAAACTTAATAAGGTTCACACTTTCAAAAAATTACGAAGTTGACCATAATACTACGTTTAATGTGGTTCGACCTTAGGGCAATAGTTTTGACGTCCTTCTTCTGATGATGTTTCGATTTTCTCGGAAAAAAAGATTGTAGGAGCTATGAAACGTTTTTTGCATTTCCAAAACAGTAAAATACATTTGTTTTCCTTTTTTCAGGGGTTGGTGCATCCCCGTCAGGTTCCTTTTTGTTTTGTGTTTTTCTTTATTCGTTGTAGTTTCCTTATATGGAAGATAATTTTGAACTGAATGAATTTGAACTTTGAATGCAGACTGAGATCATTACATTATGCCTCCTGTAAATGGATCATTATTTTCTTGGAGTACGTGAAACAATCCTATCCGCTTTAGAATGAAGCTGGGCCAGAACCTGCAAAAGTAAGCATGAAATACGATTTTTTGGCCTTGGCCCACTAAACAAAAATGCACTTAGGGAGCATGCATGCAACTTTTCTGTTTTGGTTTTGCTTTGTTTTTGTGCTTGTTTTGTGTTTTACATTTATTTTTAATTGCATCATTCTTATAAAAAATCTAGAACTAGTTTGGGTTTACGCACATTTTAATATCCGGTCTTGAAACAACGAGAGCGTACAAAGTACATTGGGATCAATGATATAGGATAAAGTGGTTAAGTAATTAAGTTCTTATATATTTACACTAGTTGTATCTTTATTGAATTCTTTCCAATTAAGTAAAAAGAACTTAAGTAAAACAGTTTGTCCTAAGTCAAAGAAATATTTCTTGAGAAAGAGGTACGTCAGTCCTTGTAAAAGATGGAATTTTCTTCCTGGTATCTAATGCACAGGCTTTTAAGAAATATGCATATGACCAAAGGACCAACAACCTAAACTTATTTGCACAAACCAAACCAAGCGAAAATATCCAAAATTAACCAATCTTTATTTCAAGTCATACTTTATGTAAAGAACTAAACACCCGTTTCTTAGTGTCTTTTGTTTTTGCCCTTTGGGATTTTTGTAGGTTAGTTCGTCGTGCGTGTGGAATATATTTTAGCGTGTTAGTCGAGTAATTTATTGCAATATATTCGTTAGTATCTAAAGGACGTGTAAGCCTTTTCGGGTCAGTTTTTTTTCGCTTGTCGTTTCCAAGTGGTCACTTTTCGCCCTACGGCAGCCAGATTTCACGTTACAGTTTGTCGCCGCTCCAGTACAGTTTTTTCCCAGCTCCTAACAAATGTGAGTGTTACTTTGGTCCAACTTTCCGTTGCATTTTAGTTCACTTTGTAACGTTCTTTTCTTTGTTTGTATTTTAGTTTTAACCGCTTTGAACAACCGCAACTACAACATCGTTTCTTAAATAAAGCGCGTTAATACAAGGCTGGAGTGTTTGGAGTGTTTAGTCCACTGTTGGAAGTTATAATTTATCTCAGGTTGCAATGTGTCTAAAATTCAAGCTTGACGAGAGCGTTAAAAGAGCAGCGGTATTGTTAAATTAACACTTTAATTCCCATGGGTGACCAAGCAAAATTTTGTCCTTACAATATAAATAGAATATCAAGTAGACAAACAATGAGAATAAAGGAATATATCAATCAAGGGATTGTTAGCTGATCTAATACCAAATTCTTCATATTAACAACATGAGAACTGTATTGCTGACCGTAAGGAGAATTGCTAACGAGATCTTTGGAGTAAAAGGGTTAAGGAAACCTCTGGCCTCATTCCAAGGTCGTGTCTTCATTTTATTTAAGACTATCTGGCAAATCAAAGTTAAAAAAAATTGCCAAGATTCTCTCCGTGACCAAAATTTCAGCTAGTCGTTTATTTGTTCTGCGACGGCTTTATTATAAAAAAACAACCCAGTTTCCACCTTCCCCATACCTGCCCTTACAGTTTCTTGAAACCATTGCATTGAATAGTTACTACGAAGTATTTAACTTGTCAACCTTAAAGTGCTTTCCAACTAGCTGGCAATAAAAGAAAATTCTTAATCAAAGTATTCGTGTAAATCGAATAGATTAAGTTGAACGTCTTTCTTTAACACTGT